CCCCCTGTGTGACTATCCTGTTCAGTTGAAAACACTGTGTTGAAAGCAAGCTCTCCATGTGGCTGAAGAGTGCAGGGGACCGCAAAAGGACAGGTTTGTATGAGTCCCCTTATTAACAACTAGAACTGCCCCTCAATCCGACCTAATGGATCCCACTTATGCTGTCATCGCTATGCCAAACAGCGGTCAGCTTTGCTGCGGCAGAGCTTTTGCACCTCAAAAAGGAGGCATCTGTGTCGTGCTGATCCGTCTCGGCCCCCATCGAGTCACCGTCACAAAGAAACCTCCAATTTTATGAGATTGTCTGATTTTTTTTTTGTTTATTTTTTGGTTCGGGGAAGAACAGAACTTTGACTTGCACCTTATTGTAAAATCTGAATAAATTACAAAGAGGACACCTGAGTCCAGGTCAAATAAAGGTCTGTTTAATGAGTCATGACAGGCCGCACACAGACTCTGTTGGCACATGACTTCAGAGGATTAAACGGACAAAAAGGAACGTGCAACATCAGCAACCTTCATGCTCAACAGAGCGGGCACTGCTGATAATCCAGAGACAAAAAACTGTCAATCAAATGTAGAACATAGCTCCTAAGTAACTTCCCGAACCAGACATGGATTATGTGTTAAACTCAGTATATTGTGATAATCTGCTTCTGTTGACATCTGATTTGACATGCAAGTCCAAGCGATGCATGAAGAATATAGGTCACCTCCTCACTGCCTGGACGTCACGTGATGGCGGACGTGTTGCGATTCAGCAAAGATTAAAAAACACAATGTCTACAGTTATCATCTGGTCAGATTGGGGATTGTTTAATGTTTGCACAGCTTTGTGATTATCAGTCACTCATCTGAACACCAGGAAGAAGAAAAGGGCTCGGCGGTAATTTAATCCAGAGCAGCATGTGCAATCGGGCAGATCTACTTAGAAATAAGGAGAAACCTCAAGGAATTACTTTATTGGGGTGAATATGTGGGCCAAAAATAACCTATAGTCCCTCGGAGGTTCGTCAAAACCTCCCAGATATACAACATCATTAGCTGGTCCAAAAAGAGATTGGCGTCCTTATAAGGCTGCAGATTCGATGCATTTCTTTACAAGGAGTGGCTCTGTAGTAAATGTCAGGAGAAGACGGAAGGGAGCAAGTTCACCTCCTTACAGTTGCATTCCTCTCAGCCTCATCACTCGGTTTGACCTTCCTGATTGTGTGTTTGAGGGATCAGGATGCTGATGGTCCTTTCAGGCTATTTTTATGAAGATGTCCGCCCTAACTCCCCCTCCTCAGTTTGTTGGAAATCTGATACAGATACAAATAGTGAGATTCAAATGTAATTCGTCGCCTGTTAGTCAAAGATGCCAGTTGTTTTGAGACTTTAAATAAAGTGGTTTTAGGTTTCAGACAAGCATTTTAATCCGGGTGTTCTTGGATCACTCAAAGAAACCAAACAGCCCACACTAGCAACATTTGCTGCATTTTGAGCGATTGGGAAACTATGTTTTCCACTCTTATATTTGCTGTGAATGGATTAGACATACAATCAGCTTCCACTTTCTGAAGTGCTGCCAAGGCACTCGCTCTCAGTAACCAATGAGCTCCTGACCTGGCAACCGGAACGCTGCTGGCACATACCTCTTGTAAGCCATCTGCGATAGCTTGTTTGTTGCAGGCACTGACAAAGGCCACGAGTGTGTCCACACAAGTCACGGCATCCAAATGACCAGCTGTCTCTGCTGTGGCACCAAAATCCACACTGTTGGGTTTATGAGGCAATAATGAAACATTTGATTGCTGGATTTTTTTAAATATATTTTTTAGACAGCTGGCTGCCCTTTTCCAAACATTACTGCTGCCTCCCAAAAGTTCATTTACTTTTTTTCTTGTGATAAAGCAGCACTGATTATATCTGGCCTGAGGCTTACTGGTGTCTGCTCCACAAGCTCCCTTAAAAGGTGACAAATGATGCAAGGGAGTGTGTGCTTTCTCTCCAGAGAGTACCACTAATAAGAGGGCCTGTATTTATAGAAGAGTCCCTCAGTAGAAACCCCATAATCCTCTCTGGCCCCTTTTCATCCCAGCTTCACCCCAGTGTCCGGACCAATCTGCAGTCCCTGAATTTAGCCTCATTCTTGCTCCACATCAGCTGAAGCAGAGGCTTCTGGAAAACGGTGCTGCCTTTTAGGAAGAAGGTGAAAATTTTTCTTGGCCTCTTTCCTTGCTTGATGAAAGGGAGAAGAAATTGCTTGGGCTGTTAAAAAAATGTTTCTGTCTCTTCTATTCTTCTACATGATTGTCCCATTTTTGTCCTGCTATTCTGTCTGGCCAACAAACAAGAAAAATGTCCACCAGTGAGCGTTTTGACTGCCATTACTGCAAAGAGTCTCTGCTGGGGAAGAAGTGCATCATGAAAGAAGACACACAGTACTGCACAAAGTGTTATGAAAACCTGTTTGCCAACTGTTGTGAGAGCTGCTCTTCACCAATTGGCTCCAATTGCAAGGTATGGAAGCCTGATTACTTTAGGATGTAATGCATGATGTAATATTTATACTAATATGCATTATTCAAATGATGTCATAAACGTTCACAGGACCTGTCCTATAAAGATCGCCACTGGCATGAGCAGTGCTTTAAGTGTGCAGAGTGCAGTCGTTCGCTGGCTGAAAAGGCCTTTGCAGCCAAAGACAACTTAATGCTCTGCACTGAATGCTATGCGCACGATTACTCCTCCAAGTGCAACACCTGCAAGAAAACCATCATGCCAGGTACTTGCAGCAATTTACAGGATCTCTGCAAACTAAAATTCTATAAAGTGCGCAGTCTGATTGACTTTGATGATATTGCATATGATGAGAAATGGTGAAAAGTTAAGTCTTGACCATAGCAACAGGCAACAGTATGACAAAACTGTCCCAAAATAATTTCTATTAATAGCTGCTGCAGTTGTTCTCTCAATGACTGTTTCCAAGGTGCTGAATGAACTCCCAGGCTCTGCTTTTAATAAACTCATAATCACAGATCGTATTGTCTTTCACACAGTGCATTGCAGATATTTCTAAATGTGGTCATTTTTGGCTCAAACGTTTTTTATATTCAGAAAAAAATATGTATATATATATATATATTTATTATTTGCAGCAGCATCTCCTCACAAAATAATTGGTCTTTAAGGTCCTCTCTCTTTAAGAGTCTACTTAGTTCTGTCTCCACTGGTGATCAATTCATTATTTAGATAAATAAACTCATAAGACAAAATCCCAAAAACACTTCCACACCGCATTAACAAAACTTTACCAATGAAACTGATTTCTGAATTTAAACCTGCTGTTACCACAACTTGAAATAAATGTGGTTTAAAATGATTGTGAATAATAGAAACTGTGTAAACATGTGGGGATGAATCAAAAGACCAGATGCCAACAGGATGTTAAATTGTTTTGCTTCTGCTAACAAAGGAAATATATGTTCTGTAATGTCCACGAATGGTCAGCTTTCACCTACAGATGATCTACAGGTCATCGGTCATCTACAGACCTAATTCAATCCTATGAGGTGGATTTTATTTTCTAGCTGCCAACAAGCCACAAGATCCTGAACTGCTTGTTGACATCCTGGAATCATAACATTGACATCATGTTCTTTCCAAGGTCCCTCACAGAGCACCCTTTTATCTAAACTCCTCACTTCAAAGAAGAAAGAAGATTTTAAAATTAAATATGAACTTCTAAAACTTAAGCCAGATAATCATCTGCAGCAATCAAAGCCGGGCATGAGCCCACGCTCTGCTGCTCTGCAGCAATCAGAGGTCCATTAGCCATAGCCCTAACGTCATATTCAAGCCCATTATGACCAAGTAGCATTATGTTATGCAGAGCGTTTTACTCCATTCAACCAGCAAAATAAAATACAGAAATATCATTTTACTTACCAATAAAAAGAAGCAGAGAGTTCAAATGGTTTGACAGAGCAATCAACACCACCGCTTGCCCTCTTTGTCCACTATTTCCATGATTAACATCCGTACGTGAACACACAGAGGACACAACTAAAGTTCAGAGACTTGAGATGGCCAAAAATCTATTAACCTGAGGCCTTTCCCAGAGCTAGCCACTAGCGCTAGCTTTGACGGTTCATGCTACCTGTCAAACCCCTTGGTTTAGTCACTGTACTTCAGATAAAGGCGGATAATTTAAGTAGAGTAAATGTAGATAATGAATCAAGGTCAGATGGCAGTTGAGTGGAAAAGTCTGAATTTGTTTATAGTGGACAAAACATTTCATATTTTTAGTTATAATATTTGTTTTATTCAATTGTAAAAGAAAAGAGAAGGAAAGGAAAGGACCTGGCATTCATTCTGCAGCCCATACTCTTCTTTAGAATTTTTAAATGTGTTTTTGACAGTCAAATATTTTTTCACATTAATTTTAGTGTTTGTAATGATATCTGAACATGCAGTAAATGATAAACTGGTGCATCTCGGGGACTGGATAAACCCAACGCTACTGACAAACGGTACTATTTTAGGTAAGGTGTATTTCTGTCTTTGAGGTGCCATATGGCGGCTTAGCTGCTCTTTCCACATGTGCCAGGTTCCAGAAAAATGGAATACAAGGGGAACAGCTGGCATGAGACCTGCTTCCTGTGCCACCGCTGCCAGCAGCCAATAGGAACCAAGTCCTTCATCCCCAAAGACACCGGCTACTTCTGTGTTCCCTGTTTTGAAAAGCAGTTTGCAAACCAGTGCTGTGCCTGTAAAAAGGTAAGAGGGCGACAAACAGGTTTTTATTCTTTCTGACTTCTGCTCTGTAATGTGACCACATGGAAAAGTTTCCAACTATGACAAGTTTGCCATAGTTTACATCTAAACATGCAAATTTGCCTTCTTGTCTCTAGGCTATCACGACAGGAGGCGTGACCTACCAAGACAAACCTTGGCATCGCGAGTGTTTCCTCTGCATCGGCTGCAGAAAGCAGCTCTCGGGCCAGCGTTTCACCTCCAGGGAAAATTACCCCTATTGTCTCGACTGCTTCAGCAACTTGTTTGCAAAGAAATGTGTGGGCTGCACCAAACCCATTTCTAGTAAGTCACTCCTCACATCCATCCATTAATTCTGAAACTTTGCTGCTCTCATCTGGTTTCACAAGGAAACTTTTAGTTAATAATGGCAAATTTGGTATTTCAGGCTTGGCAGGTGCAAAATATATTTCCTTTGAGGAGCGCCAGTGGCACAGTGAGTGTTTCACCTGCACGCTGTGCTCTATGTCCCTGGTGGGACGTGGATTCCTCACCCAGCGGGACGACATTCTGTGCACCGACTGCGGGAGAGAAAAGTGATCTTTCTTTTACGAAAGGAAAACAACTTCTTACAAATCACTGCAAAAACTGATATTCTGATGTGGTGGATCTTTTTAGATTTACACTTCCTGATACGCACAATGATCAGTCATAACACCATGACCAGTACCAAGAAAAGTGATTAAAACTTCTCGCCTTGTCGCATTTATCCTATTATGTAAAATAATTGTCTGCTGGAAAAGAGTTGGTTAGGCATTACAACCTACATAAGCATTCCTACAGATCTATACCCCAACAGATCTAGTTCAGCGGGAAAAGCTTAAAGAAGAGTAAATTAAATAGTTTGAAGTGACAGCTGAGCCTCCAAACTCTCAAGAAGCACTACTGTTAGCATTACTCCTACCAGATGTTCTTTCTTTGTTCTCAACTAATTAGTCAGAGCTAGTTTGAAGGAAAAAGTGTAATAATCAAATTAGTCTTGTGGTCATAATGTTTTGGCTAATTTGTGCACACAGGTTTTAAGCCTTTTTAGTGTTAGTTTCATCACCTCAGCTGTTTATGTCATATTTTAAGTTGCGGTGACTTTCAAGTGTAAAAATCATATTTTCCACACACATTTATTCTCTTTGTCACCAATATCATGTTGCTTTTTAACTAATAGCTCATTTCATTGTTTAAGAAAGTATAAAATCTTCTCGATGTTGAGTGTAATTGTTAGCAACAGCCCTGCATGCATTTTGCACAATATTAGACGTGTTTTCTTTATCACAACTTCTGGTTAAATGTAGCGAGGGGGGAATTGACCGGGAGATCCGAAGGCCCATTCCTCTTAGCTGACATGTCTCCATATACTAATAACCCCTGTAAAGAATTAGCTAAGACGTCAACACGTTGCAACCGCTACATAGCGTGTTGCGTCGTCGTTTGGCGCAAAACGTGCCAAAAGCTGTAAACAAAAGATCGACACCACGGAGACGGCAGCAATAGTAGCCATTTCCTATTTCCTAATGAGCTGACATCATTTCCGACTGAGTTACAACCAATCAGTTCAATTCAGTTCAAAGATACTTTATTAATCCCAGAGGGAAATTAGAAGCGGTCCCACCAACCAACTGCACCGGGCTGTTTACCGGTGTCGGTACAGGATCTGCTCGGGGTCCTTCGACTGCCGATGACGTCACATTACTGCAAATCACACATACGTTTTGGAAAGACATCAGCAGTTTTGTTAATAAATTCTTGTTTGTTAACACCTAAATGTTTTCTTTCTAATTGTAATTTGTTAATAAAACTCCATATTATCTTTATTTGTAAAGAATGTGAAACTGCATAAAACCAACATCGGACTGACAAAAAATAGAACAGTTCTTATATGTGAAGCCACATCTGTTTGTATTAACGTGGAGTTCATCTGTATATTTCCTTAGTTGTTATCTAAATACATTCTTTGACTCAAAATATTGCTTGGTGTCTTTCAATAATCATATATATTTTATTTTGCCCCATTTCATCAACATCAAGAGCTTTTGAGGGTCACCGTTCATCATTTGATTATATTTTACATTTCCTTTAGAAATTCAAACATATTTTCTCCAAAAAGTGTTGATTTTTGGACTACAGGACTACAACCGCTAAGACTACGACCGCAAATTTGTTCTGAGCAATCAAAATAATAACGTGATAACGTAACTTCCGTAAGCTTCATGTTCAGCCAATCAACTACTTAGACGTCATCGGCAGTCGAAGGACCCCAAGCCGATCCTGCACCCGAGCAGATCCTGTACTGACACCGGGCCTCTCCGAGTACCAATCTCTGATCAGGTACTCAGAAGGTTCCTGTAAACAGCCCGGGAAATGGCCGGTCCGGTCAGGTGGAATCACACGCATGTTGAGAGGTTCCTGTATATCTACCCTGAAGTTCTGACAGTGGAAACATGCCTATTGTTGTGTTGTTGTTGTTTTTTTCACTCTGAAAAAAAAATCCATGCATGAATTTTGTTTTATACAAGAATTGTAGCATCAATAAAGTATCTTATAGTCCCGGTTTTGTTCATTTTGTTATTCCTGCAGCTTTGTTTAAAAAAGTCTGGCCTGGTTTGACCTTTCGACGCACAGGAAGTGCTACACGTTGCTCCTGGTGATTTTTATGCTTGTGAAAAAAAAATTCAGTTACAAATACCTAACCATTAGCTCATCATTCCATTGTGTAGATGTTGAAGTTGTCCATCTTCAAACTAGGCTGATGGTTGTGGATTCTTCAGTGGCGTCCCCAAGGGAGTCCAGGGGAAGGTCATCCCTGAAAACTTCCTGGCCACACCACTGCTCCTCCAGGAGAAGATCTCCTTCCTTTCATAAACTTTTGTTCATGTTCACAAAAACAATACATTCACTTTCTTTTTTTTTAAAAAAAGACAATAAACCATTTAAAAAGGATGTTTGTTGAGGCGAATTCAACTGTTCCAAAATGATAAAACGATAAATGTTGAGATGATAATTAAATGACGGTGTGTATTTCCCCTGGTGATAGGGGGCAGCACATACCTAAATTATTGCAACAAAGCAGTATGTTGGTGTTCAAGTAAGACCTTACCAACGGATGGTTATAGGGTGACATTTTTTTGAAAGAGTACTTCGTCAGATTGTTCGACCTCCATTAAAACCTCAGATTCCCTTTCATCACTGGAAACGAGTGAAGAGGTAAATGTGTAAAACAACGTTTAGGAATAGCAAAAGTTTTGTAACCGCTCACTGTACGCTGTATGCTGCTCAGTCATCCAGGTCATGGTAATCCAAAGGGGTTTCAATGAAGGCAACTGGACTTCTTTGGTTTCTTGAAGACATTTCGCTTTTCTAATCTGACTGGAATATGGGAGGGTCAAGATTATAACCGTAGCTGTGTGTTGTTGCTTAACTCATTCACTGCCAGCCGTTTCCTGATCAGAAAAGCCCTTCGCTGCCAGCATTTTTCAGCGTTTTCAGTTTTTTTTTTTTGAAGAGTCACAGTATGTTGCGCTGTATGATGATTTCAACGCCAAAACTACCAAAACAAAGGGGAGCCTCCCCTCTTACACCAGGAAGAATCTGCATGTTTTGAGTGTTATCTGTGTTTTTATAATCCGTTGTCGAATTGTGATCGGCAGAAGCTTTTCTGGTCCCCGTCTCACTTTTTTTTTTTACAGCAGAGGCCCAAAGCGATCTCCTAACACATGGATTTTCTGCTTCCTGATCACGTGACGTGTGACGTATGCGGGTGAAGATCGACTTTAGAGCTGGGATGTTTGTTCTCACGGTGCGGGGGCTCGTTCCGATGCCCACACAGTAAGAAAATGCAAATGATGACTTTAGTTGTCAATGGCAGTTAATAAGTTAATGAGCAGACACTACCTATAAGTACCCCTCCTCCCTACCCCCTGATGAGTCATTAGCCTCAAATGTTTGGGTCAATGTATTGATTAGATGCAGGAGGGTGTGACCTAGACTGAAACTGTTTGGAAATTAGATTCAGAGCTGCATTATAGGTATTGGAAGGGTAAAACCTGAATCCTCTTCCCGCATGTATTGTAGGTTTTTCCCAAACGGGTAAAAATTTTCCTAGTTTCACTGTCAATATTTTTAATCAACTGGGTATCATTTAATTCATTTTCAACAACATTTCCATCCATATTTCCAGAGATTAATGGTTAAAACTACACATTGTCAATATTTGAAATGTCTTTTTTCTTAAATGTTTGTTTCTCATTGAGGTCAGTGTGTTTGAAGCATGTTGTTTTTAAATGAAAAAGAATACCGGAGCATGCAATGAACAGCCTCATACGTGGACCAATTTAGGGTGGCACACTTAAATTTTCACTGACCCCATCTGGGCCCCCCTATGAAAAGTTTATGGGGTGTGACTGCCGGAAAAAACGACCCTGCTGAGTTGGACTTTTTTTTAAAATCAAATTTCTAGTAAGCAGCTCTAGATCCGAAGGGAATGTACCCACCTGAAAGGGTTAAGTGATAAATTGTTTAATTTCTAATCATTATTAATCCCTTTCCATCAGAAGGTAGAGATGAGTCCAGGCCAAAGTAAAGCCCAAGAAGGTAGGTCAAGAAAACTAGGCTCAAGTGACTCAGCATGCAGCCCAACTGAGGACAGTCCCACTTTTTAGCCATCTGCTAGTCCTATGAGATATGTGCATTGCTACTTTCAGCGTGTCTTCTCTAAATCCTGTTCAGGCCCTGAAAAAAAAAAAGAGTTGATGCTTAAGAAGACTTTTGTGCAGATGGTGACATGTAGCCACAGGAAAGTGATCCAGATCCACGTAGAGAGAGCAGACAGATGGGAAGTTGTGAAGGAAATCCCTCTGCTCCGAGATCCCGAGGCTTCCACTGCTGATGTCTGAAGAGGTCTGGTGAAAATTGAAAGGTTACGTGACTTCATAACAGATGTTTTAGGGGCTACTAGGAGGCTCAGGGGGTAGAGCGGGTTGTCCAGTGAAAGGTTGTAGGTAAGGTCCCTGCTCCCACCAGACAGTGCTGCTGTTGTGTCCTTGGGCAAGACACTTAACTCACCTTGCATGCTGGTGGTGGCTGGAGGGACCAGTGTTGCCCGTGCTCGGCAGTCTTGCTTCCATTAGTGTGCCCCAGGGCAGCTGTGGCTACATCGTAGCTCATGACTCAATGATGACTGATTGTGTTGTAAAGTACCTTGGGGGTTGTAGAGCCCCAAGAAGGTGCCATACAAACACAGGCCACTTACCATGTTTTATCCCTTGAGCCACAGTCGGCAGCATGTTCTATCAGTGGGTCAAAAATGTCTCAAAGGCAGCAAACCGATGACTTCAATCCCATACCCCCCAGGATTTGACAACTACTTTTTTTTCAATTGTAAACTGTTCTTTGAGCCTTTATTAGGCATATGAACTTTGTTGGGGCTCACAATGGTCCAGGAGCCCAGATAACTGGTCAAACACAACCCCATAATAAAGCCCTTTATTGGAAAGACCACCGTTTTGCCAGTTTGCCCTCAAAACCAACTTGAAGTATACCTCGCAGAAAAACTCTGGCTGGAAGAGCACAAAGATACGCAGCAAATGTTTTATTCATGGACTGAAATGACGAGAAACATGGGTTTAAATCAGACCTGGGCATTTTACGGCCCGCGGGCCACATCCGGCCCTTTGGTTGACTTTGACCGGCCCGCGTAAGGTTAATTGGAAATTACAAAATAAATGTATTTTCTCATTTTACCTCATGCATGGGCTAAGGCTGCATTGCTTTTATTTTGAAGTTGTTTTTTACGTGCACAATGACGCAATACGTATAGCAACAAGTGCCCGCGGTTGACATGGTGATTGTAGCCTGAGAAATGTCCGCTCATGCAAAAAAAAAAAAAAAAAAAAAAAAAAAGAAAGATGCCGAATGCAGGATTTTCAACAAAAATTGGACTGCTAAGTATTTTTTTTACTGAAGTCGGAGGTAAAGCCGTGTGTTTGGTTTGCGGGGAGGAGATTGCCGTGTTTAAGGACTACAATTTGAGTCGGCATTACGACAAGAAACACTCGGAAAAATACAAGAACTTGTCTGATGCTGAGAGGGCACGGACATCCGAAGCTTTGCTTGCAAAGTTGCAAAAGCAGCAAGGCTGTTTTACTAAGCTTCACACATCCAGGGATGCAGCAGCCAGGACCAGCTTTGTGATATCCCACAAAATAGCTAAAAACAGCAAGCCGTTTTCGGAGGGAGAGTTTGTCAAAGAGTGCATGGTGGACTCTGCCGCACTAATATGCCCTGAAAAAAAGGCGCATTTGAGCAAATCCCGCTGTCCAGGCGAACCGTGACCAGGAGGATCGAGGACATTGCGGGGAACCTGGAGCTTCAGCTGCAACGTGAAGTGGCAAGTTTTGACTTTTTCTCATTAGACGGGAGCTGTGATGTCCGGGACACAGCCCAGCTGCTCGTATTTGTCCGGGGATAACGGACTTCAAGCTCACAGAGGAGCGGGCAGCAATGCGGTCGATGAAAGGGACAACGACAGGGAGTGATCTTTTTACAGAGGTAAATGCGTGCACGGACACTCTGGGATTGAAATGGGAGAGACTGTCACAACAGACGGTTGTCCAAATCTTAAGCCGGGCGTACACTGTGCGACTTTTTCACTTTTTTGAGCCGATTTTCCAGTCGTGCGAGAAGCCACGACATCGGGGCGAGTTTTGCGCCGAGCGGTCGTGTAGTGTACAGGGGGTTACGAGAGGCGATTAACACCACGTGACCAGCCGCCGATCAGCAGTCGTGAGGTCGCACTCTGGTGTGTTTAATATTTCGCTCGTCCCTCGTGAGGGTATCGCACTGTTGAAGCGGCGCTGCGAGCAGCTGCGACCCAAAAAGTATCAGAACCGCTCACGGCGCATGCGCGCGCAATCCTGCATCAACGCCGGTCGCTCGCTATTTCCCTAATAACACACGCTGTTCGTTTTTGTTTCTACACGTTTTTTTTACTCACAAAGATTGTCAAGAAAGCGTGTTTGTCGTGTTCATGTCAAATTAAACTGATCACAAAACACAGATTTACTTTCTTTATTTCGTTTTCCTCATCCAACCCCTATAAATCCCTGTGTGTCCTCCTGCAGCACTCCCGAAGGACAACAGGCAAGACAAGACAAAAAACTCTGACGTGTTGAGTAAAAACTGCTATTTTTAGCACATTTTTAGGGCCGACGTGTTGCTACCAGACGTACAGTGTGAGCAGTCAGAACTGGGTCGTGCAGTGTGAGCACACGACTCGTGAGATCTGCTCTGCGAGGAAGTCGTACAGTTTGAGCTGAAGCTGAGTGCTGCGAGTGAAAAAGTTGCACAGTGTACGCCCGGCTTTACATGGAAAAATGTCGGACTTTTGAAACGCATGCAAGATAAAGTGACAGAAATCGATGCAGATCAAAAATAGGTGTTTTTGCATTGAATTATACACCAACATGTGTTGTGCAAGTCAGTGCTAAAAATCAACCATGTTACTGATGTTGTTACTAAAATAATAAACTTCATCAGGGCGCGGGCAATGGATCA